GGACGTTTCGTATTTTGTGCGGAGGCCTAGGCCCTGTTCCCAAACATAGTTCGCTGACTGACTTGCTATCTGACTATCTGTCAGCTGATGTTCGAACAAAGTTTAAGACCTTCAGGGTCGCCCCGAACAAAGACCCCGAATCGTTTCCCACCTTAAGCATAATTCGCGTACTGCTTTCGGCTAAACAGTATTCCTAAGCAGTTATCGTTGAATCTTCAAGCTACTTATTCCTGCACAATGCTTGTTCAGTATTTAGGGCTAAGGTTTTGGCCTGGCCCTACCATATCCGGTTAATGCGTAGCTCCGAACCTTCTTCCGAAGGCTTCCTGCTTTCATGTTTGGGACTAGTCAGACTAGTCCTGACCACTATTCGGGCCGGAAGCGTCGTTCGTAACATTGCTCGTTTTGGTTTGCAGACTCCGCTTTTTCATATCCATGTTTCGTTGAATATTTGGGGGCGAACCTGTTTTGGAAACGTATTTGGCTTGATGGTTAAGGCTAAACCTGATTGCTAGACAGCTACCGTTACGAAGGAAGACCTTCTGGTTTCGACACTAGGACGCTTCCACTACACTTTTTTCCTCAGTACTATTCGTTGAACTAGTGCTGCTACGTCATTCTGTCATTCGAAAGCAGCAGCCGGTGATTTCTTAATGCTAAACCTGATTCCAAACATGGTTTGCTCTTGCTGGAAGGCTACACAGAGTCAAAAGTATGCGGCACTTATAGGACAAGGTAAAAATAGACGACACATCTAGAATTCTGGCCCTGTGATAAACCCACACTACGACTACGATGTGAAGCTCCTTAAAGTTTAGCCTTCGCAGCAAATAGAATCCCTTGATTTGAAGTTTAGAATGCTCCTGGTTTTCATTGTTCGGCAAGCAGGGAAACGAACGAGCGTAGCGCAGCACCCATAAGAACAGCACTCCCAGGCCGGCTTCTGTTTGAACCCCCGCTGTTCAGGCACGCCTTCCATTGCCAATATAAGAGCTCCCGCAATGCAGTCACGATCGGCATCAAAATCCAGTTGCCACTTCCCGGGACTGATCCTGTGCCTTTGCCGAAAAAGAGACAGTAGTGTTCAGTCGTGAGTCTCACTGAGTGAGCACCGAGTCCTCCACTTGTCAAGTTTGCGCAGGCGAATCCGGATTTTGGATACGTCTTCATCACGAAGGAGAAGGTTACCGTATCCGACACGGCCCTCTTCGAGTTGGTGACGGGGGTTCCGTCCTGGAGCGACGTCGACGGCCTTCCCGGTGGCGAGCAAGAAGGAACTCTCAGTGAGTTGCAGCGCCCTGGCTGCAAGAGGTCCACGCGCAAGAGTCTTCATTTTAGGCGGACTTTCGCCCTTGCCGTCTGAAGTTGGGCTGTCCCGATCTAGGCTGAAGAGTGGTGTGGGAATCCAGACAGAAGATGGCTGCAACTATGTGCTGATCAATGGGAAGTACATCAGTGGCAAGCCTGGGTTCATCCTGAATGTGAAGGCACTTGTCGTAAAGCCTAAGGGCCATCAGCCTCGGAAGCGCTACGATTCAAGGGCTTTCAGACTGGCTGTTCCGGCTCAGAATGGCAACTTTTGGTCTAGAGCCCAGGCATCGGAATGTAGGTTCCAAAGCTTCTTGTGAAAGGGGCCCAGGGTCTTAAGTGACGGCCTAAGCCAGGCTCGCCACCCGGACATCTAGTGAAGGGAGGGTCTTGGATCTGGTCCACAAAGAAAGTCCGGCCGAAGCTTTGGCAGTCATGCTTTCAGGGTGTGGACGTTTCCCGACACACAAATGTGATCTGCTGGCCTGGCTTCAGGCTCGGAGCGAAAAAAGCCAATCAGCGCCTTCTGGCCTGTGCGGTGTGGATCCGCCCAGCTTCGCGGGAACCTTCGTCGGCGACGCTCAGCTTCAGGGATCTTGAGGACTGGGGGTTCAGTTAGGATCATGCGACCCTGCAGCCAAGGCAGGTAT